AGAAGAAGAACCGCAACTGCAAAAAAAAAACATACAAAAGATGAAAACTTTGATTCATTCCTTCAATTGATTCATACCAGAAACCATGTTTCTTTGAAGTCAAAAGGCTCAAAAGCAAATCCATTGCTCTCTCTTTATCTGTCAGGTTCGTCTTTTCACTCTCTCTTTTTATTACGTTTCTGCTTTATTTCTTTGAATTTTGATTAATTTTCGTTTTGTTTTCTTGTATTTTTGCTTCATTTCTCAGACATTATGTTTGATACAAGAAAACCCACCTCAGAAAGTTTGGTTCTTGGCAAGGGTTTTGCTGCTGCTGCTACTTGATTGTAGATTCTCTCTCCTCTCTCTCTCTCTCTCCAGAGGGTGTGTTTCTGTGAAATGGGTGTTCAAGATTTCTGGGTTTTCATTTTTGTTGTTGGGTTTTGCTTACAAGCTCGGGTTTCGAGCTCTCAAAACCTGACATGCAATCCAAACGATTTGAAGGCACTGGAGGATTTCATGAACGGTATAGATTCTATGATTGATGGGTGGGGTAGCAATTTCTCACCTGATTGCTGCAAATGGGCAGGCATCACTTGCAATTCTTCTTCCTCTCTCGGATTAAACGATTCCATTGATACTTATAGAGTGGTTAAGTTGGAGCTTCCAAAGAGAAGGCTAGTGGGAAATCTCTCTGCATCTTTAGGCACTTTGGACCAGCTTAGAACCCTCAATCTCTCTCAAAATTTCCTCAAACACTCGCTTCCAATTTCGCTTTTCCATTTGCCGAATTTAGCGTTCTTAGACTTGAGCTCTAATGATTTTTCCGGCTCCATTCCTTTCGATATCGAATTGCCTTCAATCCAGTTCCTTGAAATTTCACAAAACTTTTTGAATGGTACCCTTCCGGCTAGCATCTGTGACAAGTCTACTCAGCTTCGAGCACTGAAGTTGGCTGTGAACTACTTCTCTGGTAACCTCCCACCAGGTCTTGGCAATTGTACTTCCTTGGAGGACCTCTGTCTAGGCATGAATAATTTCAATGGCGGTGTGCCCGAAGGTCTATTTCGTCTGCGAAACCTAACCCAGTTGAACATTCAAGATAACAAGCTTTCCGGGGTGCTCAGCGAAGAATTCAGTAACCTCATTAATCTTGTTCGTTTGGATATCTCAACTAATGAATTTTCAGGAACCATCCCAGATGTTTTCCACAGCCTTGGAAGATTACAGAATCTTGTACTTCATTCAAATCGGTTTGGTGGTCGGATACCCCCTTCCTTGTCGAGCTCCTCGACCATCTCTTTGCTTAATTTGAGAAACAATTCATTGCAGGGCACAATTGATCTTAATTGTTCGGCAATGACTAGTTTGACCTCTCTTGATCTCGGTTCCAATCAGTTTGATGGGCCTATTCCCTCCAATCTTCCCTCTTGTCGACATTTGAATAATGTCAATCTTGCCCGTAACAACCTCACGGGCGAAATACCAGAAAGCTTCAAGAGTTTCCCTAGCCTCTCTTACCTCTCGCTGTCAAATTCCAGCCTTTCCAATATCTCTTCTGCCTTACAAATTTTACAGCAGTGCCAGAACCTGACTACTTTGGTTCTCACCTTGAACTTCCGTGGCGAAGAATTTCCTGCTGATCCGACCCTTCATTTTGAAAAGTTGAAGGTTCTTATTATTGCAAACTGTAGGCTCACAGGTGTAATACCTCAATGGTTGAGTACTAGCAGCAGATTGCAATTGTTGGATATATCGTGGAACCAATTGCAAGGAACAATTCCAGTCTGGTTTGGCAATTTTAGCAGTCTTTTCTACTTGGACCTGTCGAATAATTCGTTTACGGGGGAAATCCCTAGAAGCTTAACTGGACTACCGAGCCTCATTAGCGGGAGGATCTCCATTGAGGAACCTTCCCCTGATTTCCCTATGTTCATGAAGAGGAATGTAAGTGCACGAGGGTTGCAGTACAATCAAGTGTGGAGCTTTCCACCGACGCTGGAACTTAGTAACAATAATCTTAGCGGACCAATCTGGCCAGAGTTTGGGAAACTGAAATTGCTTCATGTTTTGGATCTGAAGTGCAACAATCTCTCAGGACCAATACCAAGTACTTTATCTGGTATGACCAGCTTAGAGACTCTGGATTTGTCTCATAACAAGCTTTCAGGTACAATCCCGCCTTCGTTGGTTAAGCTTAGCTTCTTGTCCAAGTTTAATGTTGCGGACAATCAGTTGTACGGGGTGATCCCTACAGGAGTTCAGTTTGGGACCTTCCCAAATTCAAGCTTTGAAGGGAATAATCTTTGTGGTGACCATGCGTCCCCATGTTCATCAAAGAAGCATTATCCTCTTGGGAATCCCAGCAAATCAAGAAAAAATAGAGGAGTTATTGTTGGTATAGCTGTCGGAATTGTATTTGGAACAGCACTTGTTCTTGCTCTCATGTTCACAATTTTGGTGCGGGTACATAGTCGGAGAGAGGTTGATCCTGAAAGAGAGAATCACGATACCAACGAGAAGGAGTTGGAAGAATCTGGGTCAAAACTAGTGGTTCTGTTCCAAAACAAGGATGCCAATAAAGAGCTCTCTATTGATGACCTTCTACAATCTACCAACAATTTCGACCAAGCAAATATCATCGGTTGTGGGGGTTTTGGTCTGGTTTACAAGGCCAGCCTTCCTGATGGTAAGAAGGTTGCTATCAAGCGGCTTTCTGGTGACTGTGGCCAGATGGACAGAGAATTCCGTGCTGAAGTTGAAACCTTATCTAGAGCTCAGCATCCAAATCTTGTACATCTTCAGGGGTATTGTAAGTATAAAAGTGACAGGCTCTTGATATATTCTTACATGGAGAATGGTAGTCTAGATTACTGGTTACATGAGAAAATTGATGGTCCGACCTCTCTAGATTGGAATGCAAGGCTTCAGATTGCTCAAGGGGCGGCGAGAGGGCTTGCTTATTTGCACCAGTCATGCGAGCCCCACATCCTTCATCGGGATATAAAGTCAAGCAACATCCTTTTGGATGGGAATTTTAAAGCGCACTTAGCGGATTTTGGTCTTGCAAGGCTGATAGATCCGTATGATACTCATGTAACAACTGATCTTGTTGGGACATTAGGCTACATACCTCCTGAGTACGGCCAAGCCTCTGTTGCTACTTACAAGGGCGATGTGTACAGTTTCGGGGTTGTTCTTTTGGAGCTGCTCACCGGAAGAAGACCGATGGATATGTGCAAGCCAAAAGGAAGTCGGGATTTGATCTCGTGGGCATTTCAGATGAAGAGGGAAAAGAGGGAAAGCGAGGTGTTTGATCCTTTCATTTGTGACAAGCAGCACGATGAGGAACTCTTGTGTGTTTTTGAGATTGCATGCCTCTGTTTAAGCGGATGCCCGAAGGTGAGGCCTTCAACGCAGCAGCTAGTTTCGTGGCTCGACAACATCAACACCAAGAAAGTCTAGCATTGTTTTCAGATAATGAAGCCAGGGAAACCCTGGTTGTACAGCAAAGATATCTTACTTGTATAAGAAGTTGTATCTCCTGATCTATAAATTGTTGTTTTTGCATTCTCAAAGTTGGTTTTTGTTGTGAATGTGTATCCTCGACATAAATGGTTTCGTATTGTCGCTGTGCGGCATGAGTAACAGCAACGGTTGTAAGGATTTGCATCTCAGTTTTAGATTTTGAAGAGATGAATGTATAAAATAAAGGTTCCGAGTCTTTTGTGTTGTGGTTAGTTCATATTTTTCAGAGGTTGATGTTCTTTATTGTCGAGAGTATGAATTCCACATCAAGTAAAAAATGAACCTTGCATGTACTTGTAAGTAATTGAGCTACTCTCTTATTGTTAGTTGGTTTTATTGTGGATTTTCAACTTTCTTACTTTATCAGAGCAGGTTGTCCCATATGTGAAGTCCATTATACCACAACTTTATTAAAATACCTTCCTTTTGAGTTCAGTGAATTGACTTTACTGAGTGCATAGGCTGTGCGGAATTGTTTCTATACGAAACACTTGTGCTCACATGCGCCTTTACCTAATAGTGCTTTTATATCAACAAGTAAAAAAGAACATAACAGGTGCTTCTCTAGATAAGCAATTTTGTAACCACAAATCGACCCCAAAATTTTATGTCAAACGTAGAAAGTGATTTTGGTTTTCCAAACGTACTTTTAGTGCTTGCAGAAGCAATAGCATTTAGAGTTCAAACAAAACATAGGAAAACTAGTGAAAATGACTTGAAAATTTTGAGTTTTAACGTTAAGGATAAAATAAAGGGTAAAATAAATGATACCAAGATTGACTTTTTAGTGTAAAAATATGATTTTTCGTTAAAATAAACAGTACCGTAAACTTTTCGTTAAAGTTTTCTAAAAACATTTGTCCACCGTTTGAAATTGTTGGACGTGGCCGATTGACAATTGCACATCGTGCATTTTCCCAAATCCGTTCACATCGACATCAATTTGTGCAAGAAAAGTCTACAAAACCACCAATTTTAGTCTCTATTAAATTTGGTGTTAGTCAGAAAGGAGGACGGTAGCGGAGATGGACCAAATCTTGTTCCATCTCGCTTGCATTTTGAGTTTTAGTTTTGACTAGAAACCTAAAAGTAAGCAGCATCTCTCACGTTCACATACATGATGTTCAATTCATTTTCGCCATGAGCATGATGGCTGCAAGTCTATTCCGTCGGCGGCGATTCAGAACACCATTTTCCTCATTCTCAAGAAAATAACGTACAAGTCGAAGTTGGTGAGCAAGACCAATAATGTCAGCTATGATCGAGTGTGATTTGAGAAATTTGTCTACATGATATTCTCATGGGCATGGCTGTAGATAAAACCACAAAACAATACCAAGGCGCACAATCGGTGGCCTGCGAATGCGAGCTTTCATTCACGAGAGAAAGAACGTCATAGAATGACCAAAAGACCACGACACATCGAAATCTGATTTCATAGATACATGTCAAAGAACAACAAAATAAAAGAAGCAGAGATTGGATCACTCATGTTTGTTGAAAACAGAAGTAATATTTGGCACTTGAATTGATAATGTCTGTTCGACTTTCTACTAAGCATCCACAAACAAGAAATCTTGCAAACAATGGGCACACATATTATAAGATGATCATTTCTTTGAACAAAAATGGCACATTGTATGAGGAGGAGGACGAGGAGGATACTATTATCTATCGGCGTATCAGGCATTGGATTCCATGTCATCTTCCATCTCATGCACAGCTTGAAGTGGACCACTTCCAGACATAAACCCACTCTCCGAAAGATTATTCAAAGGACCATTTCCAAACAAGCATACCTGGGGCTCGATCTGGTTCAAGCGGTTCCACTCATCATCTGATAGAGACCAACTGAAGATGTCTATGTTTTTTCTAATCCTATCAGGCTTCAGACTACAAGGCAGCACACTGGTTCCTCTTTGCAGCCCCCAACGCAAAATAACCTGAAACAGATACCAATGTGTTACTAAAATCACAAGCACAAATGAATAAGACACTGGTTTCCATCCCTAACATAACCATGCTTGCAGAATCTAAAGATGGAAAGTAAAATGTTGAAAAACGCCAATCACAAAATACTGGCTCATGTGTAGTGCAAATCATTAGCGAAACTATAACTTCCAAACACGTACAGACCTCACCTCATTTCTAAACATAAATGTGCCACGACTAGATTAAGATAGCATATCACTGGAGGACCAAGCATACCAAGTTACCAACACCAGGATAATCTCTCTTTAAATAAGTATTTTTGTGTAGTTTCTGTTTAGCGTATAACATTCCTTAGTACATTAACAATAGCAAATATAGCATAAAGTTACTGGTGGGGCGAAGAAGACCGAAGAGAAACTAATGTTGATTCAGTATATGATTGTGGTCTTAATTCAATGAGGGAACCACTCCAGACCTTTCGGTTTATATTCTAGTTATCCCCAGTCTTAGTTTATATCTTCCCAAAGTCAATCTTGCAAGTTCAACCTATCTATAGCAGAGGGTTAATAGTGCAAACTTCAGACTTTGGGAAAATTTATAGAAGCCTAGTCTGATATGGGTCTTGAAATCACAAGGATCTGCAAATTATGTTGGTACCACCATTTCTGGTACATAGCTTGGATGACATGAATAGTATGGAGAGAAAAAAGGACTGTGGAATGTAAGGTACCTGCTCAGGTGTTTTTCTGTGTCGGTCTGCTATCTCTGCAACTGTTGATATTTTCAGCATAGGACCATGCACAGACCTTGACCTCCTGAATGATATGCGAGGAGTTCCAGGTTCATCTTCCCCACCTGAACTGCTATCAGATGCTCCAGGAGTAGAAGTTGGGACTCCTAAGGGTGTGTGAGCAGACACATGAATACCTTTCAATTGACAGAACTTTACAAGTTCATCTTGCCTCCAAAAGGGGTGCAACTCCACCTAAAAATTCAATCATAAATCAATTAAGCAACCTGAATTATGTGATAATATCATAGACTGAGCAGCTTCAAGACCAGACCATAACAACCTAGATTGAAATAATGATGATGTGAGAATAATTAAAATCTAGCAAAGATGAACGTTGAAATCCAGCCACTATAGAAAAGAGTTGGGAAATGTGATAATAGCATTAGAGCAATCTGCACCAAGTTTGATATATAATTGGTTTCCAATGTCAAAATTGAATCAGAAAGAAAGTCATGAGAGGTGTTAGTCCTACAAATCAAGTCTCTTTTCAATAAAATTAGATTCAAGTTCAGCTAGTTTTGGAGCACAAATGCAGTGCAGTGAAAATATTTATTAACATATCAAAGATCGGTGAAAGGGAAAAATTAAGTCTTTAAGTTCGTTTTTTCAAGCCAGACTGTGTTAGTAGGCCAATTCTCAACACAACTCAAATGATGATTTTCTGCACTTCACATTACAATGCATACCCAAGCAGGACCTAAATGGGCTGCTCCAATACAGGTTATGTTATGCAATTTTGTTATATTACTGCATGTTCCTTCACGTTGCATTGAATTCCACCGTTCAACACTTACAAATTACCATGTGAACCAAAAAAATGGAGAAATTGCATGAGACGATTCGTTCATGCTGGTAGATTGTAGCAAAATAGTTGCTGAAAAGCCAACTTATCCAATGAATTTCCTCATCAAAATGGTACTAGATTAAATCACTTGTCTACTCTAACATATTAGGCCCATGGATCAACATTGTAATCAAAGAAGCAGCAGAAAAGGAAAAAACAGATGGAAGTCCATTGCATCATTCAAACAATATGAACTACTTATAAAGGACAAATTCTGATGCTGAGCTGTTAAAAATAGCAAGAATGATCTACGAAATCCAACCTGATTGACAGCGGGTACAATCTTTGCAAATTTAAGCAATTGTTTGATTTGCGAAACACTGAAATTGCTGACCCCAATAGCCCTCACCAGACCCATCTCAACCAGACCTTCCATAGCTTTCCATGCTTTCTTCGACCGATTCAAGAATTGCCTATACTCGCTCCCAGACTTTGAAGGCGGATCAGTAGCATCACCAAACGCTGAGCTATCAGGCCAATGCATCAAATATAGATCCAAATACGAAACTCCAAGATTCTTAAGAGAATCTCGAACATAATTCTCAATTTTATTGAGAGAATTCATTGTGCAGTAGAGCTTAGAAGTCAAGAAAACGTCTTCCCTCTTCAGTGAACCCCTAAATGCTTCAGCTAATGCTTCCCCAACTTCGATCTCATTACCATAAAGATGTGCACAATCTATATGGCGGTAACCCACCGATAACGCCGTTTTTACGGCTTGAACACAAAGGTCTCCGCCACTCTGCCATGTCCCAAGTCCAATGGCAGGAATTCTATCCCCTGTGTTTAACACAAGGTAATTTCCTGGTGTTCCAAACTTTCCCTTCATCCTCAAGTTTCAAAGGGTAGATTCTAAACAGCCCAGCAATCCAAATTACCCAGAGTGCAGGAATCAAATCGAAATTCCAACAATTCAGCTATATTAACAGGTGAAATATGAGCACCAAGCAAACTACTACGAACCCAAAATCTCAGAAACGGGAACAAAGTATGCAAATCAAACAGAAAACCAATTAACAAACACCAAAAGCTGAGAAACCCAACTCGCAGAAACTCAAAAGAACAATTCCAGTCCAAAAAGATTGCAACTTTGACTACAAAAATTCCCCACAATCTGTTTGTCAAAAGGTCTGAAAGAGAGCTCACCACGACAAGAGCGAAGGAAAAAGCCAATGCTGAAGCTAACAACCAAATCCTTTTGCTTTGGAAACAAATAGAAGCGTGCCACAACTGTGACGGCTGAAGTAGATACGAACATATTCAATCAAAGGGTCATGGTCAACAACGGCAGCACACAGAGGGAGAGAGAGAGAAAGAGGAAAGGGAAGCCCCCAAAACACAAAACAGAAGGCTTAGCTTAGCTGTAATATCAAATCTTATTCCATGAGAAAAATGCAAAAGGACAAACATTGCTCTCTGTCTCTAATTATATAATTAATACTAAATTAATTGTCCTTTTCTAATAAAACTACTATTAGAGGAATGAGAATCCTACTTCTTTGCGAGGATCTCAGAAATCTTCAAATTGTTTTCGTTCATCTATATCGTGCTGTCAATTTTCGTCAGTTACTGTTTATTTTAATTTTTAATAAAAATTTAAAATAATTTCTGATCACACGATATATGAGAAACAGACACAATTTAAATTTTTTCAGATTCTCACAAAAAGGATCCGGAGAGGATCATCATTCCTACTAGAGAAAAGGTTAGAGAGAAAGATGGGGTTTAGGGATATAAAATTCAATGTTTTACCCAACTAACTTAGAATCCCTCCTCCAAATCCACCCACCACCTATAAAAGGAAAGCTGTGCCAAAATATAACGGTAAAAGCAAACTGCATCTTGTTTCACTTTTGGGTTCGGATTCTTGTACTCCAACTTTGACTCTACGCCTTCGGTCGGTTTTATTCATCATTCATTTACGTAATGATGAATAGACGAGTCATAAAAGTTGAAGTTTAGCTACAAGGATAACTCACTGATTAAGTACTCGTAGGGTGAAATTTCGCCTACGAGTGTTTAAACTACTGACATATTTACTATTTCGGGTTCTAACTTCGAATAGAAGCAGAATGGAATCAAGGTAAACATGAGTTATTGTAACACGATAAATCATAGTAAGAGTAAGTTAAGAGTAAGAAGGCATAGGAGAAAGCTTAGCTTCAAGGATAACTCACTGATTAAGCACTCGTAGGGTGAAATTTTCCGGCTTTGGGAATCAAACTCCAACTTTCGGTCCAAAATTGAAACTCAAAACATGGGAAGAACAGAGCAGGCAAATGAGCAAAGACCACCGTCAAATTAGGGACGGCGGAACTAACAAAGAGTATGAGCCAGCATGACTTAACCCTGCCAAGTTCCAAAGCTTTTTAAGATTTTAAAAAGAATTTGCTATGGGTCAGCGCAGTCGCTCAAGCCAATGCGGTTAAGCCCACGAGTAATAGGGCTACAAGTTTCAGTAATCTCATTAAGTGCCCTTAAACAGGAACCTAAGTTGGAAACTCTCCACTTTTTTCCTCACGATGGACATTAACTACCATTCAAAACCTACTTGCAAATTGAGAGGGAAAACCTACCATTCAATTTATTTTCGGGCCAGTGGACCGGTAGAGGGCGAAACCAATGCCCTCCATCGTTTGGTCAACCATCCACCTTCAACCAGATGATAAAACCCCATCTCGTCTGTCGCCGTAGAGTTTACGGTGCAACTCCTAGAAGCCAGAATCCATAAACCTTTGAAGACGACCAACAAGTTTACGCCATGAAAGGAAGCTTGCAGTCCCAGAACAGGTACGACGCTTCTGCCGAATCAAATCATTTCCTACATGTAAACCTTTCCATGCATCCTTTGCAACAATCATTATGTTCAAAGCATACAAAACCATCACATAATGCACATTTCTGCATCTCACCAAAAATACAAATGTCCAGAAAACACCGACCCGGAGTTCATGAAACACGAAATTCTATGACTTAAGTTTCTGAGATTGTTAAAACAACAGAGCAACACCAGTCAGTCTGATTCAAGACCATCAAAATCAAAGGTCATGATTCTTACATATTTGACAATCCTTTAAAGGTCGTTTCTTTTCAACAAATCTACCACCCCCTGCTAAGAACCAACACTCGGAATCCAATAAAGCTGCTCCTCAAAGCCCATAGTCATCACCTTTTCCGCCTCTTTCCAATATTTCGTTCTCCCCATTGGGTAGATAAGCGTTTCAAAAGTTGCGTATTTGTAAGTCCGTTCTTCAGTTTCTGTCATCGGGATGTTTCTAAATCCTCTCAGCGAATGGGATGATATTGTGTGATCCCACGCTTTGGAGGCAACTTCCTCAAAATGAAAAGGACCAAAGAAGAAGGCAATATCTCCACCAACTGCAAAGAAAGCGCAAGGCCGCAAGGAAAATTTTAAGGCGAGAATTGAAGATCAAATGAATGGACCAAAAGACTTAATTTAGCCAACAAAAACATAAACCAGATGCTTACCAGGTAATATATGAAGTTTAGAACTGGGTGATTCAAAACATCAAGGTTTGCAGCTTTATCGAATGCATTGAAGCACATCTGCAGCACAAGAGAAGAATAATGGAAGCTTAAGTGCGGAAACAATAAATCGGATGCATACAATTCAACTAAGGCTTTAACATCCAATCAGAATTTTTGGTCGTACACTTGTGTACGCACATGATATGTATCATTTATGTGATTTTGAATGTTAAAACTTCGACCAATTTAAAGACATCAAATGTTCTCAATTCAAGTAGTAGTAGGTAGAATCCATAAAAAAAATTCAAGCACTCACCATTACACATCTGACAAGGAAACATGTAAAACATATGGTTGTCACATAGCCAACCTGTAAAAGTCACAAAACAAAAGGAAAGTGAGTACATCTGCAGATGAGAATTTAGGGGTCCTCAAAACAATCTTTTTCAAGTCTTTACCTCCTGCAGCTTCTTACGTCGTCCCTTTGATTCAACAGGAAATCTCTGCAACATCAAGAAGAGTCTGCCAGAAACAAAAGCATTAGAAGATTGCCCATAATCAGAGGACTGGTGTTATATTACCAAATACTCTCCCAGATGAACATATGCAACAGCTAAGGTAACTGCTACCGAATTAATACTTTATGCGTAACTTTGACATAGTAAGATTAATTATAGCATGTACAAGATACTAATCTTCTGGAAGTAATGACATTCCATCACATAAAGGGGATGGTACAACACAGACATTTTATCCCTCACCCATCTTACAGATGCCCATAAAAAATCATTCAAACTTCATGAGAGCCAACCTATCTTAACACTATTTGAGAAGAAATCTCCTCCCTAAAGGACAAAAAATTTAGAAACAATCAAAGTATAGAGGGAGTGAGAGGGAGTGAGAGAGAAGTAGAACTGTTTTTTTCTAGTACAACTGTACAACCTAAATTCAGTGGCAGCAACACATAAGAAACACAAGGCAATATGACAAAGTTCTACGGATCCATTAAATATGATGCATTTATGAAACTATAGTTGTTCGTGAGGTTCAGGATAGTGCTTATTTGTTTGAATTATTTGCTTTTCTGGGCTACACAACGCTGGCAAGAACATCATACCTACTTAACTTAGGCCACATCTCCTACGTGTCTTAAAGGTCCTGACGTGTGATGTTGGTCATGTAGAGCCAAACACAGTATGAATTTGATTCTAACAAGTAAACTTATGTGAAGGCAAGTGAATTTCAATTTTACTTTTCGTTACACTTTATTTCCTTTTTATTTCAGACGTACACAGGACAATGCGATTTTGAAAATGTAGCGTTTCATGTCAGAAAAACCAGGCAAACAACCAAATGCAGATCAATTACCTTCCACCATATAGAAGAAACCCAAGGGCTGCGAATAAGGACACGCCTGCAAGAATATGTCTTAGAATAACAGATTATCGAGATAAACTACAAATCTTCAAATACTATATGTACTTAGTGAAAAAAAATACCTGCAAAGAACATCTTAGATAAGATGAAGAGAACTGGGATAGGCTTCCACCATAATATCAGCCACATAGCAATCTGTAACAAGTAAACCGAAACAAAAATACTATTAGATGTAGCATTCCCAACATGTAAACAAGCAACTCCCAGATACTTCACACTATTAACTAGCAATATACATAGAACTGTGCAGACAGAGGTGTACTACAATAAGCGTAATCAGTACCATACCAACTACAATGAATATCCAAAAAGTAGCCAATGGTCCTACCTTAAATAGGTACCTGTACACATTCTCTCCACTATCCAGTAAAACAATCCCCAAACTTCTACTATAAAATCTGAAATATTGAATTCATCAAGACCAATATTTTTGATATATTTTCAAAGAGTTTCAATCCAATTCATACATAGGTGGAAATGAGCAGAAAACTCTTTTAAACTGTATTTGACATAATGAGTGGCAAAGATGAAGCTGAACTTAGCAAGACAAAAAGGTGAGTAGGAGATTAAATGATATATGTATATATGTGTGTGCATGCGTGCGTGTCCACAAAGATGTGAGGAAGATGATCATCATTTGCACTATGTCACAGAGAGAGAGAGAGAGAGGAATGATTCCGTTATAGAATATGCAAGTATAGGAAAATAGAAGGAATGGAAAGTGTTTCAACTTTAGTTTTATTTCCCATTATGGAAAATATAGATACAGCATGGTCTCGATCACCTTTCCATCTTGGAATAATATTAGTATAATGTGCAGATAATTAGTTAATGAGTTCATTAGCAAGGACCTTGAGGAAAGGTCAATTCCAAACAATATGCACGTGCACAGAGGAGCAGTTTTTCCTTATCCAGCACAAATGAGTTACATCGCGATATTCCTAGCCAGCATGACATTTAACAAAACCATACACCTCTTGGGTGCTTCTAGTCAATTATAGGTCAAAGCATAAACTGTGCACACACCTAACAAAATCATCACCCTGCTACCTTTATCTACTTTCTTGCATTTTAAAATATCTAATAAAAAAACTCGCTAAACCCCTTTGGGTGCTTCCAGTCAGCCGTAAGTTAAAGCATAAAGAAACTCTAAAACCCTAACATGCCACTCCTGTTAAATATCTCTTATCCTTCCAAACTTAGTAACTTTGTCCAAATTACTTTATCTTTCTCTGAGCACTTTGACCCCATTGCACATATCTATCAGTTTTGATTGCTCGAATGACATCTGGTTGCAACTATTTTTCATCAATATACACCAACAAAAGGTTCTTAGGAACCATATTCATGAAAGAGATTTTGTGTAAATATGCGGAAGGTTTCTTCAGAAACCTTTCAACTGCATTGTTTACAGGGTCCTATGTATAATAAAAAATTCTACATATAAGTGAACAAAAGAAACAATAAAAAAATATGGCAAAAAGAAAAATAAGATGAACGTTGTGCTCTATTCAGAAACCATGGCTTGCTTCCATGTAGAAGAATCCAACTCCAAAAGCTCCCCTTTGTCGGGACTTAAAGTGACACAGTGGAGTAGAAATTTCACCTGAATCACATAAACCACAGCATTGATAGTCAAGAAGCTTGGCCTCAGTCCATCTGTAGAAACAGCACGTGCCTGTTCAATTTACACATAAGGGTCATAATCAAACCGCCTTAGTCCAACACCACTCCCACAAAAGAAATCATATACATAAGAGTATTTGAAATGAAATATAACCTGATAGTAAATTTCGGCCCAGAACAGAACCAAGAGTGCATAGGTTGTGAAGAAAGCAAGACTTGGCATATCAAGCAAGATATGTTGGACAATCTGACAAGAAAACACAAAAAATAACTTAGAATCTTCTAAAAACAACTAAACTTAAGAAAATGGCACCGACGGGAATTCAACCTCCGGATGCAGCTTCTGCACTTGCCGGCAGAAAACAAACACAGCTGATCGAACTACATGAACAGAAAAATAAGTAAACACTTGCACACAAAACAAATCATGAATGCAATTAAAATCCCGAAAATGCACCAGCCGCGACAAATAAGATACAAACCTCCATTGACAACGAAATTAAGAAAGTGGAAGACTTTCTGTGTGGTCCAACCGTACTCCGGCACTCTCAATTGTATCCGAATCAATTGAACCTAGTATGAATATAAATACCAAATTAACATATAAATCTTCACCAAATCTCTGCATTAATCTTGAAATTAATAACAGTACATGATAGAATTAAAACATAAACATACACACAACTCCAAAGTACTAGCTGAATTTTTTTCCTTCAAATTCGAAGCAACCAAACGAAAACTACAAATCTTAGCATTCAAGATTCAGAATTCAG